TAAAGCTTTGAATTGTGATGCCCCTGCCTACATTTCTGATCTTTTAGAAACCCACGCTCCCTCTCGCAGTCTGAGATCATCTAATCAAAGGCTGTCGTTCCCACAAACTCGATTTAAGACCAGAGGTGATAGATCTTTTAGAGCGGTGGCCCCCAGGTTGTGGAATGCTCTCCCTACATCATTACGTTGCCTTGATTGTATTTATTCTTTTAAAAAGCAGCTTAAGACTCATTTATTTAGATTGGCTTTTAATTAGATTTGTGCTGTATGTTTGATTATTAATGTATTTTATGTATTTCTGTTTTATATTACTGTGAAGCACTTTGTGGTTTTTATCCTGTGAAAAGTGCTATATAAATAAATTGATTTGATTTGAAGTAGCAGGCCTAAAAAACTACAGCAAATCTACAGCAAATGAACTGTATCTGAGAGTCATGTCCTTGGGCAAAGATCTAATACAGGACCCGACAGATGCATCTGGCCTGGCCTTTCAGTTGATCTACTGATTGCCAAAGGCTCATCAGAAATTGTCTCAGTGGAAGGGGCAACTGTCAAAACTTGGAATTATGGCACCAGGCAATACCATCTGGAAAACTTGATGATTAGTATCAACTACTGCCAGTGGAGTAAAAGCATAACTGGATAGAAAACCACACATTAGAACAGTATCAGTCATGGATTGGCCTCCCCAGAAACAGGACGTCAACATTACTGAACCACTTCTCTTGACAGAAAATAGAAGAAAAGGCAGACAACATCCAAACAAGAGCACTAATTGTCTTTCATGAAGCCTGGAGAGCTTATAAGTGCTTATAAATGCTTATAATTAACCTCTAATGACTTTCAAACAGTTTGCACAAACTCTGTTTCAATGAAGCCATTAGTTTGTGATATGTAACTTAATCTGATTTCATCATTTAAAAGTAAGTCATAGGTCATCCCATTTGAGAACTTTTCAAACTGGCATAAGGGCGCTGTTGGCTGGCAAAGACGCAAGGAAGATGCACTCTACAAGGCAGCGTGTTTATTTCCTGGAGGAGACTCCAGTCGTTTTCTGTGGGTGTCAGCTGACTGACAGGAGGCAGCGTGTCATGTGTCCATCTGGAGGAAGCAGATTTTCATGTTCTGGTTCTGTGGTGTGAACAGGACAGCAGCTGTGTGGGTGCTAAGAATGAAAATCCACCAGTTAGCAGGTGTGTGAAGACTGCAGGCAGACTAAAAGCACATCCCTGATGTCGTGAGGTGCAGGATATCATACACATATACATTATATGTACATTTAAATCCAGTGAAGTACAGTATTTAGTATAGTAAAGCAGACGGAGCGTTACACGGGTTTTGAGTGATGCACTTCACGTTAACAGACAGTTTATTAGCGAAAGTCATTCTGTATCATTCACAATACTGTTATAATGTAAGAACTACATATCTGACACCACAAACAAAATTCACTCTGATTTATGGCATACAGTTCAATTCATTTTGATTACGTTTTGTTTAAATGACACAAATTTACAACTACAATCACCTCCAGGGGCTTTATATTGTAACGTAAAGATCCTATAGTTTTAGAAAGAACCCTAACAATCACACAGCCCGCTATGTTCATGCCCTTGGTAACAGCAGGAAGGAAAAATTCCCTTTTAACAGAAAGAAACCTAACACAGGCTCAAGGAGGGGCGGCCATCTGCTGCAACCAATTGGGGGTGATGGGATGGTAGACGGGATTAAAGATATGCTGTGGAAGAAACCAGAGATTAATACTAACTAATAAACAAATACAGACTAGTGTCACTCCTGGCCCTTCATATATAAAACACACGGTGAGTGAAAAAGGTGAAAAAGCACTTTGTAAGTGTGCATGCGCCATTAGTGTGCTGCCTGCTGTAACCTATGATTTCCTTCGGGATTAATAAAGTATTCTGATTCTGAAGAAGAAACGCTCAGCGCTTCACAGGAATCCCTCAGCAGCCTAAACTTATTGCAGCATAACTAAGGCAGGATTTAGGGTCACCTGGTCCAACAATAACTATAAACTTTATCAAAAAGGACATATCAACATTTTTTTAAACCAAATCTTGAAAGTAGAGATAGTGTCTGTCTCCTGAATCCAAACTCCAAGCTGTTTCCACAAAAGAGGGGCCTGAAAGCTAGAGGCTCTGCCTTGTATACTACTTTTAAATACTCTAGGAACAACATGTAAGCCTGCAGTGCGAGAGCGAAGTGCTGTAATGGGTTGATATGGTACTATAAGGTCATTAAGATAAGATGTGGCCTGATTATTTAAGACCTTGAACAAGATTTTCAATTTGCTTCTGGATTTAATAGGGAGTCTATGAAGAGAAGCCAATATAGAAGAAATCTGCTCTCTCTTTCTAGTCCCTGTCAGTACTCTTGCTGCAGCATTTTGGATTAACTTAAGTTCTTTTCAGGGAGTTTTCAGGACATCCTGATAATAAGAAATCTCTAGTAGAACCAGACTCAGGGAGGAGAAGGGGAAACAATTCCAGAATCAAACATATAGAGAAACATGGTAATTGCAGGTGGACATCTGCACCCTGAACAAAGAGAAGTACCACACCTTTCACTGAGACACTTTGGAACTAGGCCTGAATGATTGGGTATTTAAAAAAAAAAAAAGAGTCATGATGACACATAATTTCTGATTTCAGCTGAGAACAGACATACCGAAAGCTACCTCCTAGCTGACAAATTTAGCTCCACGGTGATAAAAATAACTCAAGTTGACACTGAGGGAAACAAAAAAGCAAAAATACTTGAAAAGAGGCAAGAGTACTTTGACAGTTCTGCAGCACAAACTACATTAATACAAGCTGTAAATATGAGGAATGATATCCACAGCAACCATGAAGAAAAAGAAGATACCTGACTATATTAAAGTATAAAATCAATGCCATGCAACCGAATTAAAAGTGCTTGTTGTGTTTGTGACTAAACTGCATCTAACAGAAAATAGAGCCTAACATTAGTTCTGTCAGGCTGGACAGTAAAGCTCAGCCTGCAGTTCCATCAGATCAGCTGATGCCCTGGCTGACATTCTTCAATTTATTCTACTCGCTCATATTTAAGATGCTTCACCTTCCATACAAATACTGCTGCCTCTGCAAGCTGCTACGCAACCCAGATTCCCTCCAGCCAAAGCGTTACATCATGTTAATTAATGCCATATGTTTTCTAACCGATGCCTGCTCTGCTGTGTTAGGGGCCTTTGTTGCATTCTTTTTACCTTTTAGCTTTCAGTGTATGCACATGGAAATACAGAACAGAACTGTACAGACAAATATGAGTTACTGCAGATATAGACAACAATCTCCTTTCAAATAAAGTGGTCCTGACAGGATTTTAAATGTTACCTAGCCCTTTAACACTGGGCGTCCAACTTCTGAATAACTGACAACAGTGTCAAATTGTTAAAAAAAGAGTGGAAAAAAAGAAAACAAATACTATACAGTCTGTAGCTTTTGCATCATTTACTTGTTCTTCTACTGTGTTTGCTCAATTAGTGTAATGCACTGTATATTTGTTTGTGCTGTCAGGCTGAAGGTGGTCTTGGAGCAGATGGACCGGGGTATGGTGGACCTGCAGGAACTCCGGCGGCACTTGGAGCTTGCAGCTGCCATGCTGGATGCTGTTTACACCGATGAGACCAGGTGAGCCTGAGCAGGCTGTTGAATGAATGGCTGTATAGAAAATAAAGCGTTATCAGCAGTTGCCAAAAATGTGACTGTTTCTCTCTGCAGGCGCCTGCTGGACACTGAAGATGAGCTCAGTGACTTGCAGGCGGAGTCGGTGCCAAGCGAGGTGCGTGACTGGCTGGCGTGCACCTTCAGCAGGAAGATGGGTGTGGCCAAGCGTCGCCCTGAAGAGAAGCCAAGATTCAGGAGCATTGTTCATGCAGTGCAGGCTGGGATATTTGTAGAGAGGTAAATGTTGCTCTGATCAGCTAAACAGAAAGCTTGTATTCACTAATAAGCATGCTAGAAATACTGCACGGAGTGGTAGTGTGAAGAAAAGAAATTCACAAATTGTTTCAGTCCCATAATTTCTCCATAAGCCTGCATTCAGGTTTTGTGAATTCAAAATAAATGCTCATGAATAGAGAAAGTGCCTTTGCAACTGCACCAGCAATGAGATTCTCACTCTAACTGCTGCTAATGGCCATTAAACATAGCAGGCATTAGTTAAGCTTTGTAAATCTCATTTTAAATCATTGTTCAGTGTGTATAAAACTGCAGACAACTCTAAGTACCTCTGCTTCACACCCCATTAGCTGTTAACAGACCTATTCAAGGATTAAAATGGCTGCAGAGCTTGGAACGAATTTATATAGTGACTCACTTTCTTCCTTTATGTCCTCCCAGGTGCTCTGACCTAGAAAATAATGAAGTAACTTTGACCTTGCCCATTATCTCCTTATATAATAAGACTGTTACAACAAACAAACAAACAAACAAACAATCAAACAAACAATCAATCAAACAAACAAACAAACAAACATGTTATGTACATGAACTGAGTCCTGCAGGACAATAATTTATAATAATAAATAATAATTTGCTGCAACTTCTCAACTGATATATTGATATTCCAGTTTTATGTAAGTATAATAACCCACAATCCACCCATTCATTCATCGGTTTTCATCCACTTATCCAATTTAGGGTCACAGGGGAGGAGTGAGTCAATTCAGAGTCAAAAATGAATGTTGAATTGTAAATAACTATAAGTTTTATACTTACTCAGGAAGAGACTAGCAATGTGAAAAGAGCCTGGAATGTCAATGCTGCCATTAAAATTCACCATTAGCAACGTGAAGTGCGAGGGACTCAGGCTTTCACGTTTGGTTGACCCATCAGTCCACCCTTACCTCCTCCCTGATTTCCAGAAAAATTATTACTATGAACAGTATGCCACACTCCACAAATGAACTTCCGATAACTGTACTCTCCACTTTGGGTGTTTTTGTGTGTTTGCTTGTTTTTTTAAAATGACCTTACTTTACTCTTAACCCTCTCAGGCTCAAATTAAACTTTTTTTTGCTAATGCACAACCAAGTCCTGCAGTGGTACTTCTGAGTAAAAAAAACCCTCATAAAATATGTATGTGGGGTAATCAGGTTGTTCGTTTTTAACTGTTGCAAATCGGCAATGCCTGCCTCGAGAGGGTTAAGACCTGAACATACAACCACACTGTAGACAATACTGATCTTCTAGTTGCGCTCTTTCCTCGCTAGAACCTGATCATCTTTTTGCACACAAAGCCAGCTCCAAAGTGAAGTGGCTTTCCTAGTTTGGTTTATAGGTCCTGAACACAAGGGGATGAGTTCCAGCACTCACTGTGACTCAAATCCACTTCCACAGCTGGACCTTGTGAATGCTCTTGCAGGTACATGTGGACCAGATTCAATGTTGAGGCATTCATATGATTACATTTCATAAATGTTGGGTCTGACTTAGAAACTGAGGAATTCTACACTCACCCTCATCCTGCAGCAATGCGTCAATCACACAGTAAAGCATACCCCATTTTATCCTGCTGTGTGACTCTAATGGGGACCATAATATTGTGCAGGCAGAAACTATCCATAGAGCTAAATGAACTAAAAACAGCTTACCATGACAGGTAATTATTAATAATTGTAGGAGCACAGAACTGTGCACACTTTGCCTTTTGCTTGCTATTGACATTTTTCTTTTGTAGTCCAGCACTTGGAGAGAGTTTTCTGGAATATTCTGACCCTGAAGGTAGAAACGATTGTGGCTGTCTCGCTGGCAGGAGGTGACATTTTACTGTATTAAACCGACATTTGATCAGAAGTTAAAACAAATAAAAACCTTTTCAGTCAGAGCTCATTTTTTCACAGCTCAGAACCTTAAACAGAAATTGAGAAAAAAACAAAATAAAAATTGAAAAAAGGCTGTAGAAATGTAGACAGGTACCAAAAGCAGGGAAAGAGCAATCTGAGAAGAAAAACAGTCAGATGACAATTTATCCTGCTGTTTGACGCTAAAGACTTTTGTACTTTTGCACAAATATTTTGTGCATGAAAATATTTTTTGTACTCACCTGTTCTTACAGGTGTTCTTACTTCACACTGACCTTATCATTTCACTGAATATAGAGTATTTTAGCATTTATTTTTTCAAACCAAGCTTGATTCTTCCTATTTCTCAGCTCCAAAATAACAGATGTGACCCAGTCAGACCACTGTATGTGGTAACAAGTGTGCTCGTCACACAGGTACAATTATATGGTAATAGTAAAATAATACTAACCACAGACACACAGCTAGACACTACTCTGGCCAGTTGGCTCTCTGAAATGATTTCTCTGCCTCCTCAAAAGTTGTTTCCAACTCTGCCAACAAGAGTTCAAACTTCCCCACTCACATCCTGAAATATGTGTGAATGGGGTGGTGATCGAGCTTCAAATCCTGGATCAAACCATTAAATTCTCCCTCTTGCTGCCTTCTTGTGAGACTTGGATGAACCCAGAATCTTTCTTTCTTTGTTTTCTTCCTCAAAATTTAACACTTTCAGTGTGTAACATTTGGACATATTACATTCAAATATTACATATCTTCCTAGTTTTGTCATTTCTATTTCTATTTCTTAGATTTGTGTTCATTTATTCTCCTCCCTATCATGCTGTGGTCATCTTGGTCTTGTCTGTGTTCTCCCCAGTCCGTCATGTCTCTCATCCTCTCTGTGTCCTCATTCTGTCTTGTTCTCTGCTTCTGTTTCTCCACCGGTCCCAGTGTCAAGACCTTGTCTCTTATTCTGCGTCTCAGTGTCTTTCCTGTTTTATTTTGACAGTCTCTCGTCCTGTGTTCAGTGAGTTCAGTTTCCCTTCTCCCTGTCTCATTGTGCCTGATTACTACCAGCCGTGTTTCCTCCTGTTTCCTATCCCCTCATTGTTCTTTGTGCATTTAAGTCCCCTGTCTTCCTCTGCTTGTTGCTGTGTGTTCTCCTGGGCTCCTCGTGTCCATCACTTCCTCGAGTTTTCTTTTCTTCCAGTTTCATGTTTTCATTTTCCAGCGTTAGCTTTTGTTTTCGTGAATTTAGTATCTGAGTATTTTGATACAACACATAAAAGCTGCCTCTTTTAGTTATCCCTTTGTGTTTGAGTCCTGCGTTTAGGTCCTACTCCTGCCTGCCACACAGCCAGCATTGACAGATCTGACCATTCAGATCATTATTTGGCAACAAGTGTGCTTGTAGTTCCGAGTCTGTAGGATGAATTTTTCACAAAAGCGCAGCACATTGGTGTGCACATACTTTACAAGACAAGTTTGTGATGTGAGCAGGAGGTCAGGCAATTGAGAACAGTGAGTAGTTGCATTTCTGGGGAAAGAGTTTGCAAGAGGACTTGGTGGATTTTACCATGAGCCAGCATCTAGGGCAGGGGTAGGCATCTTCAGGCCTCGAGTGCCGGTGTCCTGCAGGTTTTAGATATCACCCTGGGTTAACGCACCTTAATCAAATGATTAGTTCATTACCAGGAGAACTTCAAGACATGTTGAGGAGGTCATTTAGCCATTTAAATCAGCTGTGTTGCATCAAGGACACATCTAAAACCTGCAGGACACCGGCACTTGAGGCCTGGAGTTGCCTACCCCTAGGAGATTGCACTGCGGGTAAGTTTAATCAGAGGCTTGGCAGGAGAACAAGAGCCACAATAGACTGTAGTGGACGGGCATGACCTGGGAGATGTGGAATGTGGGATGGATGTGCATGGATGCTTGAAGCTTGAGTTTAACCACTGAAAGGCTGATGACAATCTCGATCTCATATCATCCAATAAAACAGGGAGCGAGCTTGCAAGAGATGGCCTTAACCCTGGAGAACCCATGGGGTCAAATTTGACCCCATGGTTTCCCTAGTAAACCAATGGGGTCGGATCTGACCCCATGGGTTCTCCAGGGTTAAGATGAATATCTTTAGTGGCTAGTCAAACCTTTTGTCCTAGTTCATATCTGAGAGTGGGTGTTTGGAGGCAATCTGCATAGTGGCAGTGCTGATCGACTGTTCGGAGTACGGCCTCTGGGCCTAAATGCGCTATCTGCAGGTGGTGCTAGATGGAAAGAACAGTGAGATCTGCTTCTACTTCCGGGAACACAGGCAGGTGGTAACCTAAGGATACATTGAAAGGCGAGAGACAGTAGCAGATAAGGTGAGTGAGTTGTTCTGTACTCTACTCATGGGAACTGTGAGGACCAGATGGCTGAGTTTTGTGTCATAACAAAACGGAGCCAATTCCCACTCTTGATTGAGCCTCTTGGTCAGGCCGCCGGTCCGCAGATGAAACCTGGAAGTGAGGCTGACGTTGGCTCCCACTGCAGTGAAGATCTTTCAGACCTGGGAGGTGAACTGAGGACCCCTGTCCAAAACGATCTTCAGCGGAATACCATGGAGCCTGAAACATGATCAATGAGCAGTTGGGTGGTTTTGGTAGCAGTGGGTAATTTCTCAAGAGCAACAAAATGAGCGAACTTTGAGAACCGGCCTATTATGGAGAGGATTATGATCTTTCTGGAGGAGATGGGTAGCCTGGTAATGAAGTCCAAAGCTACTTGGGACCAGGGCCTGTGAGGTGTGGCTAGCGGTTTGAGTAAACCTGAGGGTTGCTGGGAGTTACTCTGACTGCGTGCAGAGATGGAACAGTTGGCTACATAATCCCTAACATCTCTTTCCAGAGATGTTAGATTGAAGATGAGAGAAGGAGGTGAGCAATCAGGGCACATGGGTGGACACAGGAGAACACAGAACCCAAACAGAAAAACACCAGACATCACTCAAATCATGACAATATTTAGTCAATGATTTTTATTCTGTCACTGATAAATTAAAAGACTTCTGTGAAAAAGTAGCAGGAAATGCACATTAGGAATTTAAACAGGCCAATCACAATATTTAGTTACATTTCTAGGGAGGTGTATGCCAAGTTATGCCATAGGTTACAGTGCAGGGTTTCAGAGTGCTTGCAATTACAGCTAAACATGTGAGTCTATGAGGATTGACTCACTTTTGGTTATTTAGAAGATCTGCAGTTTATGACACGTTGAATTTACTTCATTTTTCAGCCCTTAAATGAACTAAAAACAGGAACCCAAGCTTGCCATGACAGACCTTTATTGATAAAAGACTGCTGAGAAAACAGGGCTGTGCAGACTTTAGCCTTTTCTTGCTATTGACATTTTTCTTCCATAGTCCAGCACCTGCAAAAGAGTTTTCTTGGATATGTGAATTATTTTTATATGATGTTGAAGAGCCATAAACAGCATGAAAAGTATACTTTTTAATGTAACTGTATCTTATCTTTACAGTAACATCATAAATGTATTTCCTGCCACTTCACTGACATGCAGAGGTTTCTCTTAACTTCTGAGCCTAGTGCTCTATATGTTAATTTATCTTAAAACTTGTTATACATGTGCAGAAAAGCAGTGAGGCGTCGCAGAATTCTGTCAAATGAATGTTTCAAATGAACATTTTCAGATGTTTAGTCATTTCAGTTATTTTTATCTGCAGCAGAAATCTGGAACACCTGCAGACAGAACAGAGAACAGTCATAGATTTTCTTCAAAATAAACGGCAGAACATCCGGCTGACTCCACCGCAGATGTGATTAAAGGGTCCAAGATGAAGTGTAACAATGTTAGCCTGCAACAGAGCTGGGGATGGAGATCATATAGGGAAACTGTGAAGTCCACTATTATTATATTGTAAATGACTCGCAGTGATAGAACGGTATCAGTTCATCTGCTGCAGCTTAATGACGCATGAAATCCAAAAAATATCTGCTGCACCGAAGCAGCGCTCATTGTGTGTCTGTGAGTGTTTGAGTGTGTGTGTCTGTGTGTGTGTTTAGAATACGGTTACCATGACAACAAACAATCCATCCTGGTCACAAACTGTGAAGGAGGGTGGCTGGAGGGGGTCTGTGCGGGGAGTGTTTATATGCATGCCACTGCCTGTATCAATGTGTGAAATTAGTGCGTGATATTTTTATCTGTGTGTGTGACAATAGGATGTACAGACGGACGTCCAACATGGCTGGTCTGACCTATCCTCCCACAGCTTTGACAGCTCTGAAGGTAAAAATTACTGCTGCGTTCCCACTGGCAGCAGGTGACATTTTATTGTATTAAACCTGCGTTTGGTTAGCAATTGAAAAAAATTAAAACCTTTTCAGTAAGAGTTCTGAGTTCAGAGCCTTAAAAGGAAATGAAGGGAGAGAAAAAAAAAAAATGAAACAAAATAAAGAATGACAAAAAGACTGTAAGAGGTAAGAAAATGTGTAAGAAGGTAGCAAACGCAGGGAAAAGCAATCCAGGATGATGAAAAGAGGAACATGAGAATGACAAGGAGGGTAAAAACGTAAGGTAGAGGAAATGGAAAGGAGACAATGTGAAAAGAAAAGAGGAATGAATGAGTGAATGAGTCAGGGAGGACTTGGGAATGGGAAATAAGAAATAGGCAAAAAGGGGAAGAAAGTGAGAGGAAAACAAGAGGAAGAACAGGAAGTAGGAAAGAAAAGAATGAAGAAAAGGCTATAGGTAGGATAGGAAAGAAGACAAGGAAAGGAAAGAAGGCATGGAAGGAAATACGAATTGCAAAAAGGAAAGGAGAAGCTAGAGAGAGACTGAGAGGGGTAATGATAAAGGAGACAGAGAAGGAAGTGAGGAGCTGGTTGGGAGGAAAGGAATGAAGTAAAGATATGGCAATGAAAGGAGATAAGAGAGGACATTTGGAAGAGAAGAAAAAGTGGGATTTGGGAAGAGTATGAGGGGAAGCACAAGAAAAAGGTAAAGCTGTAAAGGGAAGGCGGAAATAAAAGGAGCTAATAAAACATCCATCCATCCATCCATCCAACCAGCCAGCCAACCAGCTTTTTTAACCCCTTGTCCAAGTCAGGATTGGGGGAGGGTGTTGGAGCCTATGTCCTAGCTGTCAAAGGACAGAAGGCGAGGTACAGCCTGGATAGCTTACCAGGGAAAAAAGAAAGTAAGATAAAGACAAGAAGGGTGGAAAAACCAAAAACAGTGACTGAAAGGAGGAAACAGAAGTGCTTTGGATAGTGAGAGGTTATTAGGAAGGAAGGCATGAAAATGAAATATAGACAAAAAAACGAAGCAGAGAAGGAAAAGAGGAGATAAACAATAAATGAAGGAAGCGGAGAAAGGCAAGACACTGTGGTGAAGGACAATGTAGATTTAGTACATTAATGATATGTTTCCTCCTCTGCACGTCCTGTTGTCTACAAACTTAGAAAAAAATTGAATTATTCTAGTCCACGCTTCTTGCATGATGCAAAGCACGACCCAATGAGAGGCTTTAAATGTAATTGTGTAAGTAAATGTAATAATTAATCTGAGTTTTAGATCCTTCCCGTTTGAGCAAACATTATCAGGACAGTGCCCTCTACTGGCAGAAATCTTCATTTCACTAAGGTCTCACCAGCTTTATGTCACACCCCCCTGCTGTAATCATACCTTACATGTGAGATGGTATTTGTTGATGCATTTCTCAGGAGGTGGATCAGTGGTCCTTTGATGTCTTTGCCTTCCATGAGGCCACAGGAGAGCACGCCCTCAAGTTCCTAGTCTACGACCTTCTGACCCGCTATGACCTCATCAACAGGTTCAGGGTACTCGCAGTTTAATTTTGTTCAAATCTGGTGGTGGGCGGACTTAATACTGGGGAAAGTACATTTAGTCCTTGTGCTAACTTACAGTTTTGTGTTCAGATTCCTGTTCAGGCTCTGGTGCAGTTTGTTGAAGCGCTTGAGAACGGTTACAGCAAACACAAGAACCCCTACCACAACCTTATTCATGCCGCTGATGTCACTCAGACTGCCCACTTTCTGATGCTACACACTGGACTGATGGTAACACACACACACGTGCACATCTTTTTGTGGGGAACCTCTGGCATCCCTTTACACTGCTGTTAACCTAAACCAGATTCTTAAAAGCTGAATCCTCAAACAGTCTTTCCTAGGACCACGCAGCATGTCCTCATTTTCCAAAACGTTGCTGATGTCCAAACTTTAAATTAGCCCACACAAAGACAGAAGTAGATTTTCAAAAACACCTATGTGGACATAATTTTGTCACAACCTTGTTGTGCAACTGTGCTTGCCTGCACATGGCTTGCAAAGACAGTTGTCTATAGAAGCTAACTAATGATGTGTGTGTATGTGTGCAGCACTGGCTGAGCGAGTTGGAAATTCTTGCAATGGTTTTTGCCGCAGCAATTCACGACTTTGAACACACAGGAACCACCAACAACTTCCACATCCACACCAGGTAATGTAGATGGTAACACTTCATGTAGCTTATCAGGGGATCTAATTTGACAGGGACAGTTTTTCTCAAGATAATTAACTTAAGATAATTGATATTTGACATTTAACACTAAACACAATATAAAGTTAACAATATAAAGTTTGTCACGTAGTACATAACATATGAATTAGGCCTGTGTTTAAAGACTCATGAAAAACATCTTTATCTTACATAATCTGCCAGTTCATTGGGTGAGTTGTGAATTCATCCAACAGAGTTCCAGATGCTTGATTCAAAAGCATGGTGACAGGTTTAAGGAGGCGCTAGGAAAAACACAGTGGGATTTATCTGGAGTCCCACCACCCTTCTTATTTTTTCAAAATTTTCAGCAAGTGTGGTTTAAAATATTAAAAGAATAGATGTGAATCTTAAGTAGGGGTACAACAGGAAACCTGCTGATGTTGCGGCTTCTGTATACAAACTGCAGAAGACATCTGATTGGATGTTGTGTGTCTGTCTGTCAGGTCGGAAGTGGCCATTCTGTACAATGACAGGTCAGTGCTGGAGAACTATCATGTCAGCGCTGCCTACAGGCTGATGGCTGAAGAAGACATGAATATCCTGGTCAACCTGAACAAAGATGACTGGAGGTTTGCCCTTACTGCCAATTCTTGATGTTTGTGCTTCCACCTTAATGCACCTAAATGCCCTTACCCTGAGCTTTGACTTTACAACTACATACAAAACTCCACTTTGTGTCCTTTGTGTTGATGTACAGAACTCATTCTTTAAGAGACAAAGAAAGGGCTATTTTAAAATACTTACTGTTCTGATGATATTTGCAGAATTCCCAGCAGATTCTGTACAAATCAGGTGACTGAAAATATTTTAAATATGTTTCCTTGGTTAAAGTGTTTTCTATACAGCTAGTATTGTTTTCAGAAACAGAGTTTTCATCACATGATGACACAGATCCTCATGTGTTAGTGTGAAGTCTGGTTAGTACCCCAACCTGGCATGATATATGTGAACACACACACACACACGCACACACACTGTGTGTACTCATATCCTTGTGGGGACATCTCATTGACATAATGCTTTCCCTAACCGTTTACCCAACCCTAACCAAACATCAATGCCTAATCCTAAACTTTAATTATTTACTTGACTTGTTTTTTGAACCCAAAAGAAGTTGAGTTCCCACAGCGTCTCGACAATGTCAAGTTGACAAACTTTCAGAGTTGTGGGCTCTTTGATGAGAACTGATTGGTGATTACTGGATGTGTTTGTTTATTTATTTATTTTTCATAGGGAGCTGAGGTCTCTGGTGATAGAGATGGTGATGTCAACAGACATGTCCTGTCATTTCCAGCAGATCAAGACCATGAGGAATGCCCTAACACAGACACACAGGTCAGAACTCTAGCCATTATTAGTGACCTTTGACCTTTGTAACTGGCTATCATTAGATCAGAGATAGCCAATGATACATTATGTAATGTATCCATGCCTTTGTGTACTTTTCATATTTTCCACAACTTTATTTAATAAATAAATATATTATTTTGCATAAATGTATCATTGTGACCAAACTTTTCCAGTTCAGATGGAAAAGTAAAAAGAAACAGATTCATTCTATCAGTTTATTTCCACCACATGAAAATAGCATGTCATGTCCTGCTGTGGCCACAAATGTTGTGTAACTGGCAAACTGGAAAATTAGACAGGATCTTAGCAGATCCTTAATTTCTCCCACATGCAAAATTGAGGCCTTGATTGCCAATAAAATTGATTCAGGAGAGGGTCCTGCTAGCAGATAAGATACTATAGATAATGTTTTTGTTTAATTTGTATAACATATTGGTGACTCCAGATAATGTTGGCTCATATCACTTTAGAATGTCTGCAGTCTGTCATTGGAAGAAACGATAAACCTGAAAGCCTTTAGCTATAAAATCGTGCCGTGAAAAATATCACTTATTTGTTGGCTTAGGTTTGGTGGAGGAAAGCTCACGATAACGGTCGGCTCACAGCTGTGAAAGCTAACACTGCAACAGATGTAGCAGCTAATTATGTTTAAGATGGTGCTGTGTCGATGGCATGAAATTAGTTCCTGTGTTAGCAAACAGCTATAGACTATAACTTAGATGGTGCCACCATCATGTCACCCATTTGTTAGTGAGGTCCCGTCTTAAAACCTCCAGCTGAGCATAGTAACCAAGACATACTGGGCACACATGGTGTAGTAACTAGTACCAGTCAATCACTGGGAAGTCACACTGGGAAGTAAGGCATACTCTCCTTCATCCCCCTTTCCCCTCTGATGAAGTTGATAATTTACAAAATGAACATCATGTTGTATTCAATATGTTGCTAAACTATCAAGCTAAGACAGCAGACTGATAAAGGGAATAGGAGAACTCATCTTTTTCTCAGAGATTTCCTTTTGTGATCAGATTTATGCCCTGAGCTGGAGATTAGAAAGATTAAGTAAGGCTTGTTGCACATTGCTTTGAAGCTGACAGCTGGTCGCCTGCAGATGCTCCGGCTGATGTATGTCAGTCAACAATATTTTTCACTCTCACTGGTAGTCACTTTAGTGGCTCACTATAGAGGTGTAGAAAGGGTTTTTCTCCAGTAGGCCCACTTCTTGTACACTGATGGTTGTTTCGGCCGTTGTCTCTTGAAGTTGTCGTTCGCTTTCTATTGTCTCAGGTCACCACATTGTTTTATATCGAGCCTCTGGCTAATTTAACCCTGAACTTTGTAAGACTTCTAAGATCCTTTTAGGTAAATAAAATTCTCTAAGTGAAAACATGTCTTTCCGTCTTTCTTATGTAAATAGACTTCTTCAATTTCATCTTAAAAATCTAAAAATCTAATATTTACCATTTCTAAACCCGCTGATACTCTGAACTACGAATACTTTTCATTCTTCGCACAAAAATGACTTTTCCCACTCAAACATGTAAAATTAGATTCCTCTGCAGTTTCATAAAAGATTTTCCGGCAGACTGTGCAAGGCTAGTCTATCTGACAGAGACGACCAGATCATCTGTGGGAGTGTGGTGAAAAGGCCCAACATAAGCTCCTGCAGGCTGCTGGACCAGATTGCCCTGTGCGTTCCTGTAGGAGCTATCACAGGAATAGTACCAGAGTCCAGCATCTCCTCTATGTTTGTCAGTCCTGCTGGACCTGCGGAGGTGTGTCCATGTGTATCTGTGTGTCTCTGTGTGTAAGCGTGTCTGAGTGTGTATGGAGTGGGTGCTGGCAGCTGTCGTGATTCTCAGCTCACGCTTGGATGGATTTTGGGGGAAGACGCTGTCATCAGCCTGTCAACACGCTGGTTCTGCTTTTGTTGCTGCAGCAGCGGGCAGAACTGTACAGTCTGCACAATATGATCAAAATACAAAAAGGCACAGCACTGTTCACATAACATATGGGAAGCTGTAGCAGAGCAGTTTCTTTCCTTCACAAGTCATTCTCAAAATACATTTTCGCTGATCTACAGGTCCAAAAATGTAGATGCTCAGTTTTTAGTCGAGGTAATATAGTTTCTTTTTGATCGATGGATAATAATGAAATGATTTTGTTTCCTTTTTCTTTCCAGTATAGACAAAGTGAAGGTTTTGTCTCTGATGCTTCATGCTGCAGACATCAGCCATCCAGCCAAAGCATGGCCACTGCACTACCGCTGGACTCACAGTCTGATGGAGGAATTTTTTAGACAGGTACAAACATCTGTCAGTGAGGTTTCTCATTTGTGAGGATGCTCGTGGACTTTAAAATCAACTATCAAATCAAGCCAAGGAATCATCCTCTGTAAATCAATAAAACACTAAACATCAGTCTAACACAGGCACTGTCACTGGTTGTATACTTTGTAAAAGTGTTTTAGTAAACCCTTGACTGCCATTTCCCATCATGGCTTAGCAACAATTTAGAAGGTTCTTTAAAACAGGATTTCTCCATATAACAACACAGAATTGTGATACCCTTCTCTTTGTAATGCCTCCTGCAAAATTATTTTTTCCAGACTTACAAGTAAACCAGTTTCACTTGACTCCTAATATACAGTGATGTGAAAAAGTGTTTGCCCCTTCTTTTTTTTTGTTGTTGCATGTTTCTTACACTTAAACGTTTCAGATCGTCAAACAAATGTAAATATTAGACAACAATAACACAAGTAAACACAAAATGCAGTTTCTAAATTGAGGTATTTTTTATTAAGGGGGAAAAAAATCACTGCGTGAAAAAGTGATTGCTACCTAAAACTAATTTAACTGCTAACTGCTAACCTTAACAGCAACAACTGCAATCAAGCATTTGCAATAAGTGTCAGGGAGTCTTTTACAGTGCTGTAGGGAAAGTTTGGCCCAATCATCTTTGCAGAATTGTTGTAAATCATCCACACTAAAGGGTTTTCAAGCATGAACCACCTTTTAAAGGTCACACCACAGCATCTCAATCAGATTCTTGTCTGGACTTTGAGTAGGTCGCTCCATAGTCTTCATTTTGTTTTTCTTAAGCCATTCAGAGGTGGACTTGCTGGTGTGTTTAGGATCATTGTCCTGCTGCAGAGTCCAAATGTGCTCCAGCTTGAGGTCACGAACAGCAGCAGAATTCATGGTTCCATAGAGTATTTTCCTAAAAGTCTTTGGGATTATCGACATGTTTTTTGGCGAATGTGAAATGAGCCTTTGTGTTCTTTTTGGACAGCAGTGTTTTTCTTCTTGGAACTGTGACATGCAGGCTATTTTTGCCCTGTGTCTTGCTTATCTTGGAGTCGTTCACACTGACTTTAACTGAGACAAGTAAGACCTGCAGCCTTTGGATGTTTTTCTGGGCTATTTTGTGACCCCTTGGATAAGTTGTTGCTGTCGATTGGCCACTCCTGGGAAGGTTCATCACTTACAGTTTTCACCATTTATGTGGTTCGATGGAGTCCCACAGCTTTAGAAATTACTTAATAACCTTTTCCAGACTGAGAGATTTCAATGACTTTGTTTCTCATTTGTTCCTGAATTTCTTTGGATTGTGGCAGATGTCTTCCTTTTGGTCAACTCCACTTTGTCAGCCAAGTCCTACTTAAGTGATTTATTGATTGAGAACAGGTGTGGCTAGAGAAATTGAACTCCAAACTTGTGATACGCCACAGTAAATCTTGTTATAATCTGGCGGAGGGAAAATCACTTTTTCACAAAGAGCCATGGAGTTTTGGATTCCCCTCCACCCCAATAATAAACACCTTCATTTAGAAACAGCATTTTGTGTTTACCTGTGTTAGTAGCCAGTTGCATTACTATTTGTTTTTGTCTCAATCTATTTGGGAAATCATGTTGCCACAAGGACCAATTTAACTTCTTTTGTTCTTGTTAAAAATAAATCAACCAGTAAAGAAAAATTAGCTAATTGTTGCTGCATTAAGAAATAAAGGCAACATTAGCCTAATTAGCATTTAGAATTAATAAAATCTTTTTCAGTTGTCATAGCCGACATAATTGACATTATTACTAGAAACTGTATGAGCTCTGTAACAGTTACAGGTGACCTAGGTGCTGCATAGCTGTTTGTTTTGTTATACAACACTTAACTTTTTTGAGTCCACCCAATGAATTCCAGTCAATTTGTATCAGTAAGAATACATTTTTGTGTTATCACTGAAGCACTCTGAAACACTGAAAGACTCTATTGCCCATGTTGTAATGAAGATATTTTAGCTTGTTTCCATGACAAGGATGTCTCCATTGTGTTTTATTGTTTAAGGCTTAAGCAGAAACTGAATGCAAATCCCATAAAGTTAACTTGAGTACTTGAAGACAGTGTTATATTGTCCCACTTTCTACATTGTTTCCAGGGAGATAAAGAGGTTGAACTTGGGCTCCCGTTTTCTCCTCTCTGTGACCGTAAAGCTACGATGATTGCCCAGTCTCAGATAGGTAAGAGTCACAATGAGAAAGGACTTCATAAACTTGTGCTGGATTTGCAAACAGCTGGTGAAACTTTATTCTCATGTTTACTATCTTGTAGTGATTTATTATAAGAAAAAGAACCAGTATTAAGTTATTATTAGTAAAGATGCTGTTACGTCTCCTCGAGGGCAGGAGGGCATAACATAACAACTCTGGAAACCTGGTACAGGTGTTATAAAAAAAGTTTAATGGCAGCGCTCTCACAAAATAAATAACCCAAATTCAAACAAATGTGGGGGAGAAAGGGACAGTTAGGTTGTGCCAAAAAAACCCACCAAAAAGACAAAACCAAAACTTAGATGGGCTATTATCCTAGAAAACCAAAAACAGGGGGGAAAGACCCTAAACCTCAACTCAAAACAAGCTCTAAATTACATGGGTGGCACCAACCTACTTACCTAGTGTTTCTAACAAAAAGACTCTATGTGAGTAAGTGTATGGGGTCCCCAAACTTACCTAGTCCACTTTACTCCCACTACAACCATGAAACAAAAGAAATACAGCAGAGGAGTTTTACACATGTGCCAAACAATTCAAAGGAGGGAAGAGAGCCACGCCCAGCCACAGGTGAGTCTCCTTATCAAGGTGTGCCCTCCTGGATTGTCCAATCAGGGTCTCCCTCCTCTAATTAGTTGGAGATCCCCAACATCCCCGACATCAGCCTGCAGTCTGCGTACCTAAGGGAATGGCAAACAAAAGGAGAGGGAAAGAAAACATGCAGCCTGCAGACACGCAACAGATGCGCTTGTTATATATTTTGCTCTCTCTTCTTCTATTATCCTAACATTTCTCTTGGGATTCAGGTTTCATAGACTTCATTGTGGAGCCAACCTTCAGTGTACTGATTGACACGACAGAGAAGGTGATTGGTCCTCTAATAGAAGAGGACAGGAAGGCCAGAGAGACTGGAAACAGGAGATCCAGGTACTGCTGCTATTACTGCTGTAGGTTCAGTGACTTCAACATGTGTATTAGACACAAGGTTTTTAACACGAACGATTCCTCAGTGAATAACCACAACAAAAGAGAAGCAACAGACTTGATAACAGCTGAAACTCTTAATCCACATCAGAACAAGTCTTTGGAAGTCCAGACCTCAGCCCCATTGAAATCTGTGGTGGCACTGTGCATAAACAGATGCCCACAAACCTCAGTCAATTAAAGCAATGTTATAAAGTATAGTGGACTTAAATACATTAACAGCAATGTGAGAAACTGATAAAGTCATACAGATAATTATTACTGTAAGTTACTGCTGCAGAAGCTGCTTGTACAAACTTGTAATTTTTTTTTTTTACAGCACTGCATAAAGTCATTTTTATTCATACTTGATGATTTTGGATGAAAAATCATTGAAAATAGGCTGGTCTTAAACCAGAAACTCTTTGTTATGTTGGTTTTACAGTATGCTTTGGGTGATCAACTTGCACTGTGAAACCCGGTCTAATCACTCAATTGTACAACTACTTATTCTTTTCTTTAAAAAAAAAAAGATTTATTTGGGTTTTTTTCTGTTTTGCCATTTTTGTCTTTATTATACAATCTTTATTAGTACAGAGAACTGACGGGAAACTAGGGAGAGAGTTGCATGCAGGACATGGATGCACACCTGTACATAGCACGATGTACAGATACATGACACAAATAGTAATTGGTGTTCTTCAAGACCACATAGTGGGCAAAGAGGTTAAAATATAACTTGTTGGTACAACAACCAGTAACAGTCCCAACCTTAAATCAGCTAAATGTCCACAGGAAATGCCTCGACTACAGCATATGTTGATCGGTGTGTGAGGGCAGGTCATCACTGCATAAAATCAAGTAACATTGTTTTTCTCATAGAAATGTAAAGTTTTTGGCCATGTAGAAAAAAAGTATTGCTCATTCACCAGGTTTTATTCAATCAATGCAATATGGAATTTTCCTTAATACATTAATACATCCAAGGTGGAAAAGGCAGTCCCTCTCATCTCTTTACACCTCTCTCTCTGTTTCAGTCTAACAGGAAGCGGTTCAGTTACCGTGGAGTCAGTGCAGAGACACAGTAGTGTTCGCCATGGGAACAGTGATGATGGACAGATGGACTTTTCCCTGACAGCCATTGATCTGATGGCACTGAAGCTGCACCTCTCTGGTGTCATTACCAGCAACAAGGACAGATGGAAAGAACTATCTGTGCACGGTACACATACAGTCACAAACAAATATTCAAGAAACTCAGAATCAGTTGAGGTAAATTCCTAAAGGTAAAGTTTCTACAACCAAATTTAGAAAAAAAATTGTTTTATTTGGAGTGTTATTATTTTGTTTTGCGCTTTTGGACTATTATAAGACAAAGCATCCAACAATCTATAAGTGATTTCTCAAAAAATGATGTTTTTCAGTGTAACAAAGAGAAATATATAAATGTCAGTTGTTAAATTCTCCCAATTCTTTTGATCTTTGGGCTGAAGGAAGGACAATACTCGGTGTATAAATGCTCAATCAACAATCTTTTATTCCATACAATTCAACACTTTATGAGCATAAACCATCCGGAGGGGAGATGAGCGCGGGAGGGTGTCCGCCTGATCTCGAAGTGTCTGAGCGTTCCTCACATTCTTATAGCTTCAGCCCCCCTCCACCTAGTCATAAAACCTAAACATCCACATTCTTTCTCTCTCTCAGTGAGCCTAAGTTATGACCTTGGCTTCCTGTGCAGTATGTTCTGTTCTTTTCTAATCAGACAAATAAGGTGATGACTCTCTGAAAATGGTATTTCTTATAACTCAGCAGTATAATGCATCATAAAACAATATCATTCATTCACAATAAATCAGCAGTCTAATGAAAAAAAAAAAACGACATAATAATTTCATCTTTAATTAGGGGTCTAAAGTGGCATAAGATAATATAATAATCTCACACTCACTCACAGAAAATAATGTTTGTCTGCAATTTGATAAAACATGCTCTTGAGATGTTCTGTCAAAGAAAATTGTACCCTTATTTTATTATAAGCTACCATCTTTGTGCTGTAAGCCTTGTTGTGCTTGTTTCACACACTCAGCTGTGGACTGCTGTAATTTGTAAGACAAAAAAATTTAATAACTGTGCTGCCAATAAATATCCCAACAAAATCAATATGCTTTTTTCCACTGCAAAGGTATTTTTTCTTGTTGACATGACATGAGGTTAAATTGTTGAACTGAGATTTGTCCACCTTTTTCTAAAGTTTTGTGCAAGTGCCACCTGTTTACCTTTGGGTAGTCAACATTTGAGTTAGGTATGATTTTTGGCTTAGCACCACATATCATATCTAATATACTGGGAATGTAATATAGTGGGAAAGTGTCTCATCTTCTGAGATAGATTCTGATATTGGAAACTGCCAGTCAGGTTGTTGTTGTGATGTATCCACACACAAGCTTTGCCATTAATGTAAATATCCACCAAATATCAGATGCAAAAAACACTGAACTGAGTGTAAACTTCTCCAACACTAGTCCTAGAAACAGCTAAGAGTCTCAAACCATCAAGGGCAAAGGCTTGAAGAAGATCCCCAGATTTGATGGAACAATTTTTTTTCCCAGTTAAAAATTTATGTATTTTCCTGTGTTTGCCTATTGTGAACAGAGCTAGCCAGCAAGGCGCAAGAAGAAGAAGAAAGTGTGGACCTCCAATCACATGCCTCAACCAGCCATCGTACTCCTGATGGTCCCACTGCCGATCAGCCACAGAACTCTGACTGCTCACCTCCTGGTGAATCTCATGACAAGTCACCAGACCAAATGTTGAATGGTATGAACTTGACAACAAACAGAACTTCCTGACATTTAACCCTCAAACTCACCTTTAGCTGTGGTAACCTTTACAGGGGAGGCCCCAGAGGAGGAGAAAGAGGAAGATGAAGTGCCTGAAAACGCCTGACTGCCCTCTGCCAAATGTACCACTGTATTTGACTGTGGCAGACGACTCTGGCAACAGGGCGTTGCCGTGCAGAGTTCACACTCTCTGTTTAAACACAGCAGCTGACTAAGTGGTCCTTCAGTGACTTTGAAAAGGGCCACTAGACCTTTGTTTTTTTGGGGGTTTTCTTTTTTACAACTGACCATGAAAATATCACATTCAGAGTGAAAAGATTCATTAGATAACAGCTTCTTAGCAGCTTCATGGCCCATTAACAGTGGTGAAAATGTGTTGTGATTTTATTAGAGATTCAGAGGAATGCTGTCTGTGAAATAGATGTCATCATTTAAATAAAAACAGAGGCAGGTAGGTCAAAACCAAAGAGTGTGGAGCGGCTTAAAAACCCTATTCAGGGAGATGGGAGACTGAATGTCTGTTAGGAATAATAATTAACTGAGCTGTTAAGAAGCAGTTGTCAAGGTTTTGTTAATGCAGCTGAGCACAACAACAGGTGTGATGTTTTAAACTTATAATATGAGCGTGAAAAGTGATTGCTGCTCTGTTCTTTGTTCCTACTCCTTTTTATCTCACACCTCTACCCATGATGTCAAACAAAAACATGTTGGATGATGTTGCAGCAGTTGTTTATCGTACCGCCTAAGTAGCAAGCTAAATGGGGCCAATTGAATATTGGCATAATTGACTATGTTGAGATCATTAATACCATACAGAATTATTTCTTCTGGCATGCACGACTTAGGCTATTTTTGGGGGCTAAACCATACCTGGCCATTACTAACGCTTTTGGGGCAAAAATGTTAGCAGTTATTCAGTAAACTGGAACCTCTAACTTTTGGTCTTGCACTAGCATCGGCCGAGAAACATTCCAAAATGTGTGCCAGGTGGTTGATGCCCAGTACCCCTCTGCAAGTTGTGCTTAGTGCTAATTAGCAAATGTTAGAGAGCGAAACTAAGATAAACCACAAATGCCATAAACCTTAAGCATTACACAAACAAAACTTATGTATATTACCACTATCACTGAGAGCATATTAGCATTCTGATAGCATAGCTGATGGCTATTAGAGAAGCTGTAGACTATCAGGTGTGTAAAATATCCCAGCACTTTGTACAGAAGACATTACAAATGTTACATTGTAGAAAGTGATGTACAAGTTATGAAATTTTTCAGTTTATTTGCAAAGGAAAAATCCATGGACCTACTTGCATTGGTCAATTTACAGTGCTAACAAGTTAGCAATATATACCAAGTGGAGGTCTCCTGTATGCAGTCTTTTAATGTAACATAAAAGGAGGCAACTACAGACCTGGATATAGTGAATATTTGCAGTCCTGGTTACATTGTAATATTTGTCCTAAATACTAACATGCGACAGAGACGGGAAGTGTTGTCAGTCACGATGCTTTTTAAATGCACAATATAAATATTTAATCTCAAATGTCAGTTATTTATGTTTTGTCAAGCTCAGTTTGGTTATAAAAATCATACCACTAGCTTAATTAGCTTAGTGTTAAATGTAGCTAAGCAAAAAAACATATAGCCATTGTGTAGAAGGACAGAGTCTGGATGTTATTCACAGCTTGTTTACACCATCAGTGGTGTATTTGATTCAAGAGCATTTTATTGAAACCGAATCACTCTTTCAATTCATTTTCTTATCAAATCTCAATTACAACGTGATGAATATTATGATATAATAGTCATTAACCCCGTCCTGACTATTTCTGCTGCTGTCTAACATGCCTCCTTAAAGTAATACAAATTAAATTAAACTTTGTATTATATGCATAACTAATGTTTGCGTGCACAATGTAGTGAACATTACCTGCAGGTGACCTAGCTGCTGCTCTGCTGCAGTTCACAGATCTCACAGATCACAGAATATGGTTTGACAGCTGTCATGAGCTGCTGCTCAACACTCAAATAATCTAAAATATCACGTTCTTGCTTTCACATTTGACAGTATACATTTCAACAAATTCTAGTTTAACATTAAACAATATGCTATTAATACACTACATGGAAACAGCATGTAATTTATTATTTCTTTTCCACTTTTGACATGAGGCTGATATTGAATTTGCTTATTTAATTAGTATCTTTTTAAATGTTTACTGGTTAGGTAGAAGGTGAAGGGGGGAGCTGTACTTAAGAAAGCTAATAGAAAGGATTAGCTCCAAGGCAAGAGGCTTGGTAACTAAAGATTAACAAAGATTTAATGAGGGATTTGCTGGCTGCTGAGCCTAACCAAGTATTTTGCAATCTCCAAAAAAGACATCAGAGCTCATCTGTAGGATCAAATCAGAGTCAGTTCTGTGTTACAACTGATTGTAATAAACGATTGATCCCAAACCTGTATCTGAGCCCTGACTGAAGAGTCTGTTTCACTTGAAAAATGTTACATATGGGAGCTAAAAAGCTATGACTGCCATTCAGCTGGCTTTACCTTTTCCATGGCTAATAGCAGTAAAAATCAAAACAAAACACAGTGGCAGTTTGAATGCACAGAGAGCAGAGCAGCAGCAGTGAATCGGTGTGAATTTCTTTACATGTTTACATGTGACCTTTTTTTTAAAAAACAAAAACAAAACATGGGCCATCTTATCGTATTCTGGGCCAATATACCCATAGGATAGCATTACACTGTACTCTCCATCATTGTAGAGATTGTGGAGATAAGCACTCTAATGGAAAATGACAATGAACACTGAGTCCAAGGAAGTGTGATCATGAGTAAATAAATAAGATTTACCTTTAAATCGACAGGAGCCCAGAGTTCAGGCAGCTCTTGTTGTTCCTGTGCTGGGCCCCTGTCGCTCCACCTGGCTGTGAATAAAGAAAAGTGCCATAGAATCAACATGGTGACAAGAGAAACACCAGTTTCTATAGCAATGGACAATGAGTCAAAGGCCAGAGCCAAAATGGCCGAAAGTCAAAGCTCTTTAGATTCTGTGAGCACTGTGTTTGTTAATGCAATGTGTGCTATAGTTATTGTGTGCTCTTTGACTGTGTGTGTGGGTGAGATTTTGAGTTTGTGTGAGAGAAAGTGTGAGAGTGTGCACTGTATACTGTATACTGTACAGCTGTTTTCTGTATTATTGTATTAAACATTCACAAATCTGGCTCTGTCTTGGATTTTATTCAGTCTTGTTGTTTACATTTGGTGGTCAACAGACCTGTATCTGAACTTCTGGTATCTGCTTTTACTATATGGACCTTCTACAGGAATGTCATTTCTGTCCAGTGCATGCATATTAAGTGACTTCAAAGACAAAAACAAAACAAAACAAAAAACATAATACTAAAGAAAAAAAATGATTTTAAACTAAAGATCCACTAAATCAACCTATTATACTTTCCCTTATTTTCTACTGTGCTGTGAAAATTTTCACCAGTCTCATTTCTTAGTCTTTTGTCAAACTTAAAAGTTACAACCAAATTTTAACATTAGACAAAGATAACATGAGTAAATAGAAAGTTAAAAAGTTAAAAAAAAAAAAAGTTTAAAAAAATGCACTTTATCTGGTGTAAAACAACCATTTCACCATTTCATAAAAATAACATCATACCAACAGTCTAACATGATGTGGTAGTGTGATGGTCTGTGGTTGGTTTGCTGCTCCAGGACCTGGACAACTAGCAAAAAGAAAAACCTTATGGAGACCATCCAGCCACCAGTTTGTGTCCTGAATTTTAGGTACAGTTGGATGTTGTTGCAGGACAATAATGGGAAACACAGCAGTGAGTCCACAGGTCAAAAAATGGGTCAAAGAATAAAGTAAAATTAGGGTTTTTGGAGTGGCCTAGCCAAAGTGTGGACTCAAATCCAATGGAAATTCTTTGCCATGCCCTTAAACAGGCCGTTCCCCTGTATCGAGATGGCGCCTCTCACAGGGCTTGGCGTCCTTTCCTGCCAGAGAGGTGACATTCCATGATCCAGGATCTAATTTCAGTAACTGAGGACTGGACCATCAGACCACTGGTTGCTGTCTGATCCACGTTGCACCCAACCCCTACAGCATCTTCTGTGGGTGTGGACCCACAGGATGGCTGTACCAACAAGTGTTCTCCTTTGAGGTGAGGGGCCTCTTCAGGGAGTGGCCGCGGTAACCCTTTTCTGGGTATAGGTTAATCATGTACCATGATGTATTCTCCATAGAGCTACTGGGATTTGCTCTCATCTAGGGCAGCATAGCTCCCGGGACAACAACAGTGCCCCTGTACTAAGACTCCATACATAAAAATGAAAACAGATGTACACTATAATGAGATGCATTTATTACCTAATCTTCTTTTGTAAAATGTGTGCACCTTTGCCTTGAACACAAAGTTTTGGATCAGTCCAGAAACCTTTTGAGAACTTGAATTTGATAGCATTTATTAGAAAGCAGCACTCATGACCTTACTCAGGTAAATATTGCCGAAAATGTCGCAATGCAATTTTTCAATTTGATGCACTAAATTTGTGCTGCCAGCAGAGAGCACTGTGACTAAACCAACATTGGTGATGTGGGGATCTCATTCTATTGTTGCACAACAAATACCGGCCACCAGAGGGTAGCAGAGAGCCACTGTCATTAACAAGCAGTCACACTAACACTTACCGCTCTTTATTCATTGATTAGTGTTGTGTAGAGACACTTAAGGTGTCTTCAATCACATCCAATCAGCTCTCTGACTAACAGCACCACAAGAAGCTACAGAACACGCTATTCTTGCACAAAAAGTGGCACGACTAAACCGTAACAATACATTGTGTTTCAAGTTAATGTATGACTAACGGGATGCCTTAAAATGTAAGCTAAAAATCTGCAAAATGCACTCTCAGCACCACAAAATGTTGCTGAGATCTTATTTTTACTTTTTCTTTCAGCAACGTTAGAATTTTTTTGAACACTTGCAGCTCTTGTTAGTTGGATTGTGGACAGCAATATGGTATCCAACAGGAGACAGACAGAGACAACATGGTAAACATTTCGCAGAAGAGACTGATATTTTTCAGAGCTAAAATAGACTTTAGTAATGCCATTCTGCTTTTCACATCACCTAATACAGGAGTGGGGGAACTCCAGGCCACACAGGCTGGTGTCCTGCAGGTTTTAGGTGTGTCCTGGATCCAACACAGCTCAACATGTCTTGAAGTTCTCCAGAGGCCTAGTAATGAACTAATCATTTGATTCAGGTGTGTTAACCCAGAGTGAGATCTACACCGGCCCTTGAGGCCTGGAGTTTCCCACCCCTGACCTGATAAGACTGCTTGCAACTTTTCTTTCTTTTTTTTTTTGCAGGTTCACACAATTTACAGCAGATAGGTGTAAGAACACATGACTGTCATAGTCAAAGATGATTCACATTGAGACTCTGGCTTGATCAAAGCTGATAGTTAGCCTATTTATCATAATAACTGCACCGTTAGAGTCTGTTAGTTATTTGGTGGTGTAATAAATGTCGACCTGAATCAGCAGAATTTCCCTAAAAAGCTTCTGTGAATAAGTAAGTTTCACTTTCTGAGTTCAAAGGGTCGATTTAATGGTTTACAACAGCCTTTGAAGTCTGTCCAAGTTCATTCTAATTGAGAGTACAATTCTGATTGGCAGCGGTTGCCAGCAGAGGGGCCTGTGTCAGACCATACTTTTGCCAACTTAATTTAAGCAAGTGGCATAGGGTCTATCAGGGTCTCAGATCGCTTTTTGAAATTCCTGAATCTACTGTATATTTTGGCAGACTTGCACTGATGCGTTGAGTGGTTTTACTGATCCCAGAGTGGAGATTAGGTTACTGCAGCATCCAACATGCAGGGATGTAATTTGTGACAAAGTCAAAAATAAGAGTGATGGAAAAAGACGCATAATAAAATACACTTGCTATCTATTCTCCATAGATAGTAATGTACATCTCTGAAAACCCCCCAAAGAGAAAACATGAAGTTTATGTGTTGTGTATATGTGTTGAAGCAATAGTGCGTATGTTTGTTTGTTTTTTAACTACTAATTTTGTACAACTGGCCGAAACAGCACAGGGAGTAGCTGAAATTTCAGTGAACCTCATTAACCAAAGTAAGTGTGCTATTTAATAGGACACAGGTTTAAATTGCAGTCACTTTTACCACTGTCTATTTCCCTATATCCAGATCATTGGGTCCAGTTCACTTCACCTCACCTAATGACATAAAGCAGTAGTTCCTCTGCTGAAAGAGTAATCAGTTCCATAACTGCCATGGCAGGAATGAGAAGAGGAAAAAAGCAGAAGATGCAAAAGAAGAAGAAGCTGAAAAAATATCACTGTTTCTGTGTTCTAGCACGTGTTCTCAATATCACCCTACATTTAGTCGTTTTGTATTTATCCTATTTCACTTCTCTCTCCTCAGCAAACCCAGTATGTTGGTTTGGCTTGATCAAAAATCATTTCAAAATCAGAAACTTCTATTAGAAATATGTAGCAAACTAAACCAATTGAAAACTGATGGGAAATTTAGCTCCACTGATTTTAATTATGGACAAGTTTTAATTCAGTGTGTAGCAAAGGTGAAGCTGAGGAAATGCAAGGACTGACCTCAAGCTTCTCAGGACCTGTGCTAGCCAGGTGTGTGTGATCCTGACAACCTGACTCTGTTTCACATCGCTTCACTTAGCACCAGTTCATATAACAGTTACCTCAAGGTGCATCAAGGTGCTTTATTTAGTGAAGTGAACAACCATATTAGAGGAAAAATCCCAACAATAACTGGGCAACAGTGGGAAAAACGTCTTTTTTTCCCACTGTTGCCCAGGGCAGCCATCTATAATGACTAGTTGGGAAGGTTTGGGGAAAGAGAAGAGAAAAAATGAGAACATGGGGAGAAACAACAAAACTCAAACTTTAAGAGAGAGGAGACAAAAGTTAATGAATGTTGTAGTGGAGCATAAACACTTGGGGGTGAAAACCAGTACCTTGATCACATCACATGTGATGCCATGGCAGGACCACAGGTGAAAATACCAACCTCATCTTTTAAGTGGATGATGTAATCATCTGCATGCTTGGATGTATTAGTGATGGGCTGGAGGAGAAGTACAGAACACTATTTGATTATTATTTTTTGAGTAGTCTTGAAGAACTTGAAGACATGGTGATCAATTGCAGAAAGAAAGAAGACCTCTGAGGTCTGTACTTTGGGCCATTGCAGCACCTTGGCTCTTCTCTTTTTCAGCTTGTTGCTGTGCTTGGGATCTTTGTTATGCTACGTGAGCCAGCTTAGGCCAAACTTCAGCTGTCAAACAGCTAAATATTGTATTGAAAGAAAGAGGAGTTCATTGTTGACTCAGTAACTGTGAGGTTCCCAGGCCACGAGGCTGCAAAATAAAAAGAACCCAAATTAAACTACTGTGCCTGACAGCTGGTATGAGGTGCTGATGTTGGTTTGGTTATGGATTATGTCCAAACATCTCCATTTTGGTCTCATTTGTCCAAAGGACACAGTAAATGGTAAATGGAGCGGTTCTTAGCTACTCCTAGCACTTAAAACACTTCATTGTCTCACCCATTCACACTAATTCATACAAGCACATTTTTCTGAGCTTTTTCAATGTAAGTGTTTTCTATTTACCATTCACAAACATTTATACTCCAATGATGCATTAAAGAACAAATTGGGGTTAGTATCTTGCTCAGCGATATTTGCCATGCAGACTGGAGCAGATGGGGATTGAGCCATCAACCTTTTGATAACCTGCTCTGCCTCCCGAGCTACAGCCATCCCTCGTTTACCAATATGTGTGTGGAAACATTTTTAGTTTTCATGAAAAATTACTGTCAGATTTATGACGTATGCACCAGGCAATTTTGTTCTTACCGCAGTGCATACGTTGGCAACTCAGACTCATTTTAAATCAGCAGGCTCATGCTTGCTGCCTGCAGTTCGAATACCACCACCTCCATACATCCATTTTTCTGTATAAGGAAACAAGTTTACCTCCAGGTGAGTGAGAAAAACTGGTGAAGTTACAAAAATGTGGTGAGTAAAAGAAAGCAAAATTTTAAACAAGTTTACTACTGAAGAAATTGAAACAATCGT